TTCTGTTGAACTCTTATAAAGTGTGCGGCGTTGTGCCTGCACATTTCACTCATTTGTTCAAAGAGCAGAGCAGCGTTTCTGTCTCCATAAAGGTGAAAAAGTTCTGCGCGGGAGCTCCTCCACATGACCTTCACGCTGCAAACTGAAGGTCACAGACACACGTGGGTTGACAAAAGTCAACATTTCATGCCACTTTTTCAGGTTTCCACTGGAAGCAGCTAAGTTCGTAGTTTGCCGTTCTTCTTTACGATCTGTATCTAATGTTTAACTCGATCTGTTCCTGTTCGGCTGTCGCGTTGTGTTCGGTCGATAGAGTTCTCGTGTTTATTGTTTTAACTACAGAGGAAGCATGATGTGGAGCGTTGGGAAGTTCTGTCTTTTCAGTGTGTTTTGTATTTGTACTGAACGTGTTCTCTGATTTTTCGCTGTGATATGAGAGTTACTAAATAAAAATAAATAAATTATGTAACGGCAAGAACTAAAAGAGGACGTTAAACCACTTTTAACCTTTAACCGCCCACTGATGCTCCCACAGAGTGCTACTTTAGCGTTGAACTCCTAAGGCCCTAAACCTTTTATAAAGGTTAACTTTGCAAACATCCCATGTTCAGCAGAACTTTTCTGACACGAAGTCGTCACGGCTGCACGGTTTGTTCCCTACCTCTGAGTTTAGATTCATTGTTTCCTGAGGATGCACCCTGACCTTTCACCTCACGGGTGTCTCGTCTGCGACGTTTGTTTCTTACGATCTCACTTCAACTAACTTTTTATACACTTTCTTCAAAATTGCTTTAATAAAAAAAGAAAAAATTCTATTTTTTTGGGGCCTTTTTGTTTCCATCACAGAAAGCGGTTGGGCTGTCAAGTTGAGCAGTTTTTTTTTTTAACTCATCTATATCTGCGTTGGGATAATATTAGTACTGCGACTTCCTGCTTTATTCTTAATGTTCCATTTCCTTTTTCTTTTTTGCAACAATCTGCAGCACACACTAAGAAAAAGTAGAAAAAAAGAGTTTTAAAGTGTCTTTGTGTCTCAGAATCTGTAACACGCTGTCGCTTTCCTGGAATTGTTCGCTCCGGCCACAGGAATCAGATACTATACACACAGAGAAGAATCACAAATCAAAAATATTCAGCTGTCTTACCAACGCAGCAGAGCCAAGGGCTGAAAGAGGAAGTTCATCTCTGCGAGGAGGAAGTGAGGAGGTGAAGTCAGGACCTACATGAAAAGTGCAAAATAAACTCAAAGAAGTCTCTTCTGGGAGTCTAGAAAAGTAGATTTTTTTTTCTTAGCATAAATGTGAAGCTAAGTCACCCAGAGACATCATGTTGAAACACCAAACTAGTTCAAAGCGCTAAAAATTAAAGCATTTAACTACAGGCTGACCAACATCTTATCAGGACTATGGCCTATCTGGAAGTGCTTCGTGGACAAATCTCACCATCTTGTCATCAAGTATATATGTAGTGTGTTTATAAATGTGCTGCTGGTAGAGATTTTTGACGTCTTAAATCGTGTCCTGATAGGACAAGATGTGAAGAGATCTTTTTTTGTAATACCACCATCGATCCTCATGGCCTTTTCACTTTTTCTATCTAAAAAAGTATTTTGATAAAGAATAAAAGGCTGCGCTCCTGTAGCGGCAGCATCGTGCACTCCGAGTGCCCATCTTTGCTGACGACTGTTCGAACATAATCTCACTGTATCTCAGTACAATGATAATAAAGCTTATTCTGATTCTGTAATTTAAAGGTTGAAATTCTTCTCAGTTAACGGCCCAGATTACCTTGAAGGAAAGCACATCGCCTGGTACCTTCACACTAAGAGCATCTTATGCTGAGAAGTGATGGATTTCCAGTAGTCCCTCGATTATCGCAGGGGTTATGTTCCAGACACCCCCGCGACAGATGAAAATCCGTAAAGTAGGGACGTTATATTTATTTTAGTATTTATATATATTTTAAAGCTTTATAAACCCTTCCCACACTCTTGCAATGTTCTTAATGTTCTAAACTCTCTAGAAGAGCACAGCGAGAGAGAGCAGACAGACTGATGCTACGGTTACTGAGCCCCGGGGGCGACTGGCCATCAGGAGCACCGGGACATTTCCTGGTGGCCTGGCCCGCTCAGTGATCGCCATGGGGGACTAAAGACTTTGTTTGGGTCACGCTTGATTATTTTAAATAAACAATCCACGCTGCTTGTGCGGCTCACTCAGGTATAAGACAGACACACACACCTGCCCCCTCCTTTCTTTTTTCGAGGCTGTCTGTTGCACGCCTGACTGTTGTGTCTCTGCTCTGCTGTGACAGACAGCCTCAGAAAGAGAGAGGAGGGAGTGTGGGGGTCTCTTATACCTGAGTGAGCCACACTCAGCCACTCTCTCTCTCTTTTTAAACTGATTCACTTATTTTTCCACCTAAGAATTTTCTCCAATATTCTACATTTGTTCATCTGATCTGTTCATCCCTGCTCCCTGAGCAGTAGCGATGGGGAAAGACAGACTCCGCCCTCTCCTTTCTCTTTCTGAGGCTGTCTGTCACAACAGACGGGACACAGGATTGGCAATGGGGAAAGACGGACTCCTTTCTCTTTCTGAGTCTGTCTGTTGTGACAGACAGCCTCAGATAGAGAAAGGAGGGGGTGGGGTTGAGTCTGTCTTTCCCCATTGCCAATTGTGTGTCGTGTACAATCTTATGTTGAAAACCCACAAAAGAGTATGTGAAAGTCGAACTACAAAGTATCGAGGGACTACCATATAGACACTTTGGTCAAACTTTGTAAATGACATTACAGTGGTGCTAGAAAGTTTGTGAACCCTTTATAATTTTCTATATTTCTGCATAAATATGACCTAAATCCTAAAAGTAGATAAAGAGAACCCAGTTAAACAAATGCAACTAAAATATTGTACTTTGCCATTTATTTATTGAGGAAAAGGATCCAATATTACATATTTGTGCGTGGTAAAAGTATGTAAACCTTTGCTTTCAGTATCTGGTGTGACCCCCCCGTGCAGCAGTAACTGAAACTAAACGTTTCCGGTAACTTGATTAGTCCTGCACACCAGCTTGGAAGAGTTTTAGCCCATTCCTCTGTACAGAACAGCTTCCACCATTCTTTGGTAGAACCACTTGTATGCTGAAGGTCGTTGTGTTGCTGCATGACCCACCTTCTCTTGAGATTCAGTTCATGAACAGATGTTCTGACATTGTCCTTTAGAATTCTCTGATGTAATTCAGAATTCATTGTTCCATCGATGATGGCAAACCGTCGCAGCAAAATAGGCCCAAACCATGATACTACCACCATATTTCTTATGCAGGAATGCAGTGGTTTCCCTTCTCCAAACATAATGCTTTTCATTTTAACCAAAATGGTCTCATTCGTCCACAAAACGTTCTACCAACAGCCTTCTGGCTCGTCCACGTGATCTTTAGCAAACTGCAGACGAGCAGCAATGTTCCTTTTGGAGAGCAGTGACTTTCTCCTTGCAACCATGCCAAACAATACCTGTTCATGTCAGATGAAGCAACATTAATAATAATAATATTGGTTTAGGCGGTGAGTGATAAAGCACATTTTTCACAAAGCTGAGTCATAAAGTCACTAGTTAGGGTGAAAATCCACCTTTCATCCACTGAACTGTGACAACATGAATGAGAACCTGCCGTTTCCTTTTTGCAGCGCCGTGAGACAAAAAGACTGAATGAAGTTGTGCTTCGTGACACAGATGACTGAGAAGCTGCCCACGCAGAAGCTAAAAATAAAAGCCGGTGGTCTTTTCAAGTGGAAGGAGAGGAAATGGGAGGGTTTCAGGTGCCTCTGAAGGCAGAACCTGTCGGTCCCCATCAGACGAGTGAAAGGCCTTTGTGTTGTGTTGACCGCAGCCTTCGAACAGAACAAGGGCATTCAGCTAAACGTTTTATTTTAAGAAGAGCAGCTGACAGCCGTGATGTAAAAATAGTTTAGTTTCAGATGACATCAAAACAATCAAATTGAAGAAAATGCAAACGAACATCTTTTAAGATGAATAACTTTACTGTAATGTGGAATTTGCAGCTTATTCTTATTATAATCACTCGCTGCCATGAGATTAACCTTTGCTGTCAACCTGATTCAAGATGGCCACCACAGCTAATCACAGAAACGACTATGGCTCGTCAGCTTTACAGCCATTGAGTCAGGGCTTAATTTGTAAACCAAACAATGCCGGAACGCAAATTGCAGTGGGTGGGGGTGTCTGGTGGTCCTCCCCCAGAGAATTTTGATTTAAGTAGATGCCATTTTCTAACGTGAAACCATAGATGTAAACTCAATTATTATTAAAATCTCTATGACTACAAAGCGCTCGTGCAGCTCTGCAGGTAAGGGGCGTTGACTTCAGGACAAATCGAGGTCGCTGATTGGTCAGTTGCTGACTTGCCGACTGAATTGATTGACAGGTGGGTCGATGATCCGACTACTGCAAAAAATAAAATTATAGATTTTACTGCCCCGTTTAAGACTCGTCATTTATTCCATATTTATTCACCATTATGGTGAATCTAAGGTTTGACAACTGAGTTTCTTTACACAATCTTAGTGATGGTTTCTTTATATTTCAGAGGTGCTGAGTTAAAATTTAGGGGCGCTTGAAACCCCTCCAGAAAGAGGTTAAAACCACCACTGTAGCCAGTTTATATTTATAATTTACTTTTAAATGCTTTATGTGTGATTTATAAGTGTATTAAGTGCAGGAAGATTTCTTACCTAACTACTTGTTTAGTATATCCCAGGTGCGCCTCCTCATCCTCCTCCCTGCGCCGCACCTTGCTTCGAGTCTCGGTAGCACTCCTGTGTCCTTTAGTCACCCACAAACTCAGATAAAGGACTGGACTGAACTTGGACAAAGGAGGAGTCCCGTTCACATTCTTCTTTCAATTCAAATTCAAAACTTACTGCCTCCTCCTCAACAAGTAGATTAACATTATTTTATATCGTGCATTCTTATTTAGTTTTCCTTGCGCTGTATGATGCGTAAAACTGAACCACAGAAGTCCGAGACCGACCCGGCCCGCCCATCAAACACATAATTTTTGGCCCGAATTCATTCAACCTTTATTTAGACAGGTAAATCCCAGTGAGCCTCGAGGACTCATTTACAAGAGAGACCTGATTATCGGGTCGGGCCAGAAATCGCAGTTCTAATGCACACAACAACAAAATGTCATTTGGTGGCACAGAGGTTAGAGAAGGTGGGCCTGTGATCGGAAGGTCATCGGTTCAACTCCCCGGACCGACAACTTCAGTATGTGAGTGGAAAAGGTAAAACACCCACACCTAACTCCACCCTCATTTGCTCCACTCTGGGCCCATGAGCAAGGCCCTTAACCCCCACCATCTGCTCCCAAACAGGTCTCTCTTGAAAATGAGTCCTCGTGACTCAATGAGACTACCTGGATAAATAAAGAAAATCCGACCCAACTCGGCCCCAGCTTGTAGCCATCATTTCCAAACCCCACCCAGCCCAATAAATTGAATTACAGGTCCGAACCCGAACCCCCCGACATTTTTAATTCAGCTTTGACTGCTTAGTTATTAACGGTGTGCAAACGTGCACGGCTGAGTAAAAGGGGCAGAAGATCGGAGCTGAGGGGGGTGTTTGTCCTTTCATGGCCATCAAAGTGCATTAAATCCCTGCTTCTGCCTGCACTCTGCATTATTCAGACATGGACCCTGCTCTGGCATGTCTGATATTTTGTGATCTCACCTGTTTGGATCGTCAGCCGCGCACGTCCACTGAGTGCAGCGGCTGAATGAACGTACATTTGGGCTTTGATGGATCGCTGCCTGGCCGTCCCATCTGAAGCGTAGTTGAACTTTTTTTTAACCTCTTTCATGGCCGGTCAGCGCGTGGTCAAATGGCCACGTGCGGCTGGTGAAGGCATTGCAATCCATGTTGCCATATAATTGGATCGTCGGCTGCACGCATCTTCTGAGGCAATCAAAGGCCCGACACCGACCTGGCCTGCCCATCCAGCACATTATTATGGCTTCGGGCCCGGGTTAGAAATGACAGTTCTACTGCACGGCTCTCTGGTCACAATTGAAACTGATTTTTCAGTCACCAACTAAAGTTCAACAGCTGCAGCTCAGGAAGACGTTCGTTTCTCTTCAACAGATTAGCCTCGACTTGAGATGACAACAATGTGCAAGCGATTAAACCCTTTTTCGAATAAAAAAGGCTTCTGGAAAAATCTGAAGAAAAACACAATCTGCTCAATATGTTCTTTCTGCTTCTATTTCGGTCTTTACACCGCTGCCGTATCAGTTCTGTTTTCCAAAGCAAAGAAGACCAGAATACCCAGCATGCCGTCTGCTCACTAACACACACAGTTTAAGGTGAACTCAAAGGTACTTCCATTAGCAGTTGGAGGACGCCACAGTAGAGCTAAAGGACAGCTTGTTGTGTGTCTTGTTAGCTAGCTGTGCTAGCTGTTAGCTTACTGCGCTAAGACAAACGCAACGTGACGACTGTCGTTTTCCTCGTCTCGTCTTTATAAAAGCTGTCCAGCTGGAGCAGAAGCACCTGTTCGTGTGAGAGCGAGTTTCAGTGCCTCTTGTTGTCGGTGCGACTCTGTTCTCTTTCTGCAAGTCTGACCTTTAGCAGGAGACGGGAAGACTCGACGCCGAAATGACAGCTGAAGGTTGTTGGTGCAGAAACTGAAGCTGCAGAAATAAAACCGTCAGACCAGAGAAACACGCCCACACAATCAGCAACACAAACTACACACTGTAACCAAAACTTCTCCACAAGAGTCACACGTTCGTGCCTTTTCGACTTCACTTTTGATACTTTTATCTGTTCTGCAGAAAATATCCAAAGTGCTTAATGTTAGCTTGACTTTGTTCCGCCAAAAATAAAAAAGCAGTTTTTTGTGGATTTTAGGCCATTATAAAATTTTGCCCAGAGATCTACATTAACAGTATTAATTTATATACCAGATTTACTAAACTCAGTATTATACAATAACTTAAATACCTGCAGCACAAGTGAAATCACTTTTTTCATTATGTATTGGACATGTACGTTGTCCTGCATCCATTACTTCCCACAGCTTTGACCAATAAGCTTCCATTTTAAACTTCTATCACAAAATAAAACTTTTGTCGTATTTGGCAAGCAGAAAAGGAAAGTTGTGTAAAAATCAGTAAAGCCACATCTTAAACCACAATCAATCTTTGTGGTTTTATATGTTATTTATTTATTATTATTATTTTATTTATTTATTTATATGTTATTGTGCATGGTTAACCCACTCCATTTTATAACATGGGGTTTATATGGAACCTTATTTGGTAACAAACCACAACACAAGTTGGTCTTCTTTGAAATTAGATAAAATAAATGAACTTTTTTTTTAGACTGGAGTTGTTTTAAGATCGTGGTAATCGACTTTAATCTCGCACTATTCAGTCTAGTCGTTAACTTGTAGTTTTTCTCCAAACTGAGGTTGTTTAAAAAGCCATCTACAACAGGTAAGATATTGACTGTACATGACATTTCTTCAAAAATGTTTACATCCAGTTTGCAACTGAAATAATTGTCCGTTAGATGTTTCTTCATATTGACCAAGACACATAAGAGCACATTTTCTTATTGAATTGTAATTCTTGTTTTGTTTTTTACTGTATTTTCACAATAAAACTTGTATTTTTCCTCAACTTTAGAAGATGAACTTGTTCTTTTAAAACGTTATGGTCTCAAGATAACAAAGGAGAGTTAAAGCAGACGTTAAGGAAAACTGCAACATTTAAAATATAATTAATTCTGAAATAAAACATTTATTTAAAGGTTTTTACTGTTTATATAAAAATGTGATTGAGAGCAAATTCAAATGAAGCTCATCAGAACATGCTAATCAAAAACATGAACCGTTTGCCACAAGAAGAAAATGAACGACAACTTTGACTATTCACTGAAAAGTCCCGTTACGTTTTCACTCCTGCGCTGATTCTTTAGACTTCGCACTTTCTTTAGAGCTGATTTAAAACTGCCATAAGCTCTAAGATATTTATCAGACCATATTATCGGTTGGTTTTCTAATTACCGGTACCTCTCAGAATGGAGGCAGTGTGTTCAACATAATGATACTTCTTCCAACTATTTAACGATCAACAATGGTGTACCACAAGGCTCTGTCTTAGGACCCACCAACAACTGTTAAGTTCAATGCAAAAATCCATACAGACATGTTCCTGTTTTTAGTATTTTACATCGCTTTATAATGTAGCACTTTTTTATGTTGTTTTACAGTATATCACATATTTTACTTTTCATTGTATATGCTTTTACATGAATGTTTATTGTGCAGTTCATTTGTGGTTTTGTTTAAAACACGTCTCTCTTGTAAATGAGTCCTCGTGGCTCAATGAGACTAACTTATAAATAAAGGTTGAAGGAATGAATGAATCCATTTGCATCTTCCTCCTCAAAATGTGACTTTTCTCAAAACCCAACTTATAACTCTGGGTTTAAGATGTCAGGAGTAGATGAAGAGTAATTGGATACTATAAATAAACAACACGTGTAAGTCTTCGGTGATTGAAAAAATATGTGTAAACAAGCATTTTGGTATATCCTCTGGTACAGTGATGGTGAGAAATTAAACCAGTTTAGTAAAACACAAAACAGAAACGTTCCAGGTTGTAGAAACAAAATGGCTGCAGGTTGTAGTCGTGCTGAACCACGAGACACGGCTGTGATCAAAACAAACGTCAGAGTCAAGCTCGTTGCACCTCGTGTCGTTTTATGAGCTGAATTTGGTGAAAGTCATCTCTCTCCACAAACACGCACGGGCTGTAAAAAGGTAAACGGCTCATTTTGGACTTTCCAACGAGGAAGTGTTCAAACATATTTTAAAAAAAACGAGTACAGAGTCCTCCTTCTCCACTTTCTCTCGTTTTCCACCGAGTTCAGTCGGAGTTTAATGAGAGAACCAGAAGCTCTTTTTGCTGTTTTTCTTCCTTCGATCTGTCTGAAAGGAAATATGTAATCAGTTCCTGCGCTGGAAGTGCTCTAGCAGCAGGTGAAGGGAAAAAATACCAAAAAATACATTTAAAAAATGGTGGGATGAAAAGCAGCCGCAGAAAAACGAACAGTCTGTACCTGTTTGAGAGCCAAGCAGACGCAGACTCATCCAGCTATTCATCCTGTCAGCACCTTTTCTTTGTCTTTAAATCCCTTTTTTCTCATTTCAGGATAAGTTTCCTCTCTTTTTATCCTCCACCTTGAATCCCCGCCGACCCCTCTGCTGTTAAAATGCACAGAGTGTCCGACACAAACCAGCCACCATTATCTGTCGCCGCGGCAACCGGTCAACACCATTAGAGCCGAAAGGAAAGGGGAAAAGAAAAACAAGAAAAGCGTCTTTGTGTTTCGTTTTGACTGAAAAAAAACAAAGTGTGTCAGAAGGAAGAGAATCGGAGCATGAGGTCAAACACAAATAGACTTAAAGATTCACTTTGGAGAAATATCTGGAGTGTTTTTAGACCCACTTTTATTTTCAGGTATATTCACAGACAGCACAGCTGTTTCTAGCACATACATATACACATATACTAACACTTTACAAAGAACTGATTAGTTTATCTTAAAAAAAAACGTTCAGAATTCAAAAATATATCTTGTGCATAAAGATATTTGCGTACTAAACCCTTTTATGTGTTTCCAACGCCTGAATCGGCTCCTCAGAAGCTTCTCCTTTAAGTGTCCAAGGTTGAAAACCATTTTTCTGCATCCAACAAAGTTCAGTCAGGTCCTCTGGACGTGGTTTCTGTTTTTGATGAGCCATTTTGTCCTTCATGCAAAGGACTTCATCAGTCCAAGGAGCCACAACAAACTCAGTCCCACAAGCAGCACACTCACATAGTGGGCCAACAAGTTTGCTGGTGATAAGCCACAGCCAAAGTGGTTCAAAACATTAAAAACCACTTTTGAACCACTTTGGCTATGGCTGCCTCAGAGGAGTGAACAGGAGGGGTCTCAACACACAGCCCTGAGGAGAGCCAGTGCTGAGGGTTATGGTGGAGGAGGAGAAATTGTGGATCCTCACAGAACAGAGTGGCTTTCAAATCAGCCCGACAAAACAAAAAACTGTAAAAGATCCTCCCCTTTTGGCAAAGTCCTGGTCACCAACGCACTCCGGTCCGGTCAAACAGTGACTCCTGGCCATCGTTCTCTATTTCACATTTTACAGCTGAATGACAGTGCAAAACAGGACTCCAAGCCCAGAAAAGAGGAGCCGCTCTCTCAGCTTGTTAAAGTGAAGCCATCCCTTGGATTTCTGTGTGGTTGAGTAAAGCTTCGGCCACACTGTGGCTCGGTAACCAATTATGGGTTTGACCGTGCAAACACTTTCCCTCTCTACACTGCACATGCAGGGTGGCCCAACAGTGGTTGCCCCAGCTGCTTCAAAATGCGGCCATAATGTGGTTTTTCCTCATAGTTTAGAGCTGGTTAGCTCTGAACAAACCAAGCAGCTCAGAAAGTTTTTGCAGTCCACCGATGGCGCTAACGAATCTCCTGCTGACTGAGAGCTTTCTCCTCAGCTTGTTTTTGAGAAAGAGAACAAACAGTTTTGAGTCCAAGAAGAAAGTCAAATGTCTCCCAAGTTGTCATAGATGATATCAGGTGACCTCAGCGGCGCCTTGCGGTTCTGTTTGTACCACGAATGAGCAGGCGGAGGCTTCTGTTTAGACACTATGCTGTACACTTCCTTCCCGCTTCCTCCAGCGCTCCACACATTGTTGTTGTTGTTCACATTACTCCCCTGTTTTCCAGGGGGTGGGGGTACCGGTTCTTTCTTCGCAAAAAGACCCTTGTTTGGTTTGGGAGCGGTGGCAGGTTTGGCCCATCGTGGTGCTGGAAGTTGTGGTGTGCCACGATTTGGGCCCATTTGCTTTGGAGATTGTCTTTGGGGCTCTGACGGCTTCCCCTTGGAGGAGGTGCTGTAGGTCTCCTCCGGTCCTGTTGGGCCCCCGGTCTCTTCCTGTCTCCTCTGGATGGGAGGTTCCAAACGGGCCTCATCGTAAACAGTCATCCCTAAATGACCCTGCACGAAGCTTCCTTTGGCGCAGCCCTCTGGTTCATCATAGATGTGATCCAAAGACGAGCCAGGAGGTGATGAAGACCCTTCTGCTTTACCTCCTGTGCATCTGTTGTTATTTTTTCCTCTTCCTCCCCCCACACCTCCGTTCAGGTTCAGGGCACTCGTTTTCTGGTTCAGGTCCTGGCCGATCTGGTCATACACATGTGAGTATAGGTCCGGTACCTTCTTGGGGTTGCTTAATCCAGGATGATGATCGCCTGGGACACTGCATCCGGACACATCGTCTCCTGTTGGTCGATTGCGTGGGGTTGGCACTGGGGGTGTGCATGGGTTGGAGGTTTGGTTCTGAACTTTAATGATGTCCACTGGGTCAGAATAAAGGCTATCAGAACCATGCGCGGGCATGCGGACCGAGTCTACTGGCTCAGAGTAAAGACCAGCATTTTCATCAGGCGAGGACATACCTTTCCCCCTAGGAGACCGTGGAGGTGTCCCACCTCCTCCCAAAACCCCCAACATCCCTGGAGGTTCTGGTAAGCTCCGCCCTTTGAGTCCTGCTCCTCCTCCTTGCCCCTTTCCACCACCTCCTCCTCCTCCATCACCTCCTTCTCTCTTTCCAAGAACGCCATCAGCCGAGCCTGGCTTACTGCCGCCCGAATCGCCGTCCGCCTCCCGACTGCTGCAGCTGCTACTGTCCCCACTTCCTGACGTCACGCCACCGGGAACGGCGTTCCGTATGTGCTGCAGCGACAACGGGCAGTCGGGGTCATAGCTCTGGGGGCCACTGAGGTGGTGGTCCTTTTCCAGATCTTTCTGTAACTGGATGGCCTGGTCCACCAGCGAGAAGATCTCGTTGCCTTGCTTCGTCTCAAAGGTGAAGTTGCCAGGACCTGAGTCGCACCGGCGGCCAGCTTCGAAAGAAAACATCACCTGGAGAAAGAAATAAAATTAAGCACACTTCATGTGAAAGTCATGGTTTGAGAAATGCGTGTATTAATCAAGAACGGGCGTCCTACAACTACTGGTAGAAGTGCACTGTGCAACGTACACGAGATTAGCAAAAAACTAAATATTTCCCTGAAGAAAATGTCAGGACTTCGACCTAGCCCTCTGGAGCTCTCAAGCTCATGTTGAGACAAATGTGTACTTTCATGCATTCATCATGCGTCATCTGTGTTCTACTTCAGAAGAAGATTTAAACATTATACTCTGTCCTATTTACTGACTGTGACTGTGAACGATAAACGGTTCCATGTAATCATTCTTACTGGGACCAGTCAGTGAGGAACAGAAAGAACTGGTTGTTTTGATATCCTCAAGGGCTGTTTGATAAGATATTGACATGATAGAGTTGATATATAGTGACGTGTCTCAGATCCACTTCACACATCTGCAAGCTGACCTTTCGATGACGTCTCGGACATGGAGGGGAGGAGCTGAGACCTGGGCTAGAAGATTACTCTATAAAACTGATTTGTCCAGTCCAGAGAGTTAGAGCAGGTCAGGGTTCCACATGGATGAAAGCAATGAAAACAGTGTAATCTTCTAATTGCCTGTTCTGTGAATCTGGACTGCTCTCCAAAGATGATGAACTACACCTTGGTCTGTTCTGGGAATCTCCTTTTTACCACAACACTTCACCGTAGAAACAATATTCAAAGTTAAAACAGAAACTTGCTTTACTTGACTGACAACTCATGTTCGGGGCAGCACGGTGGTGCAGCTAGTAGAGCTGCCGTCACTCAGCGAGCAGGTCGCCCCGGTTCAAATCTCAACTGAGGGGGCCTTTCTGGGTGGAGTTTGCATGTTCTCTTCGTGCATGCGTGGGTTTTCTCCGGGTACTCCGGTTTCCTCCCACAGACCAAAAACATGCATGTTAGGCTGATTGGTAACTCTAAATTGTCCCTCGGTGAGTGAGAGAGTGAATGGTTGTTTGTCTCGTTTGTCTCTATGTGTCCCTGTGATGGACTGGAGACAAGACCAGGGTGTCCCCCTGCCTCTGGCACAGTGACTGCTGGACATGGACATCAGTGACCTCCCAAAAAGAAAGGAGCGGGTAAAGATAATGGATGGATGTTTGTAACGCAAAGCTTACATTTTAAAATTTTTAGAGAAGTTTCCACAGAATGTTCAACTTACGAGTGTGATGAGTCACTTTGACCTTTTCAAAATGTTTGCAAACAACTTCTCTTATTTGCACAAATGTTACACTCTGGTCAGGGTTTAAACATTAAAACTTGGGTATTTTTGTCTTCTTTCACACACTGTGTCTGTCGCCACTAAAGGACACGATTTTCTTTTAAACCCATTTGAGTGCAGAGTGCACACACCCAAACTTTCGTTGGCTTCCATCATATCTGAGCTCTCGTTTATCTCTTCAAAACTGGACACGAAAAGTCTTTTGAATGTGTCATATGTTGTACATACAACACTGTAGACAGATGACCAGACACTTCTGCCACTTACAGTTTAGCTTTTCCAAAACTGTTTGTCTCAGGCTTATTTTCTACTCTGCTTTTCTCTCTGTCTTTGAAAGGTGCAGTCAGGCAGTGACAGACACAGGTGCATGGTTACCATGGTGACCACAATGAGTCACTGGCAGGAGCTTTAGCATTTCTTTTGGTCGTAGATTTCTTCACAGTTTAAACATCAAAGCGCAACATTCTGGCACGTGTCAAACTGAAGGCCCGTGGGCCAAATCCGGCCCTTGTAAACATCTTTTAAGGCCCACCAATATTATAATTTAAATAAAAATTGTGTTTATTTTTCTCATTTTGCTTAAAATAACAATTTAATGCAGGTTTCTTATGAACTTTGAGGCCAGAAAAAAGGTTGGATTTGTCTGTATTACAGTGGTCCCTCGCTACTTCGCGGTTCGTTTATCGCGGACTCGCTCTATCGCGGTTTTTCAAAATAAGATTGGACGTGACAACAATTAGCTGATCGATGGATGAGCCGCACGATCGGCATGGAATTTCTAGTTTAAATAAATTATTTCAAATTATTTAGCACCTGTGTTTCCTGCTGCAGCTGATCAGCTGATCAGCGTGCAGAGCGGAGAAGTGGGCGTGGCCAAAAGCGCTTGCAGGTGGCAAAGAGCAGAGGAGGCAGGGAGCCGAAATCATGACATGCTGTGCTCTTTTAGAGCATTTAGAAACATTGTTTAGGATATTGCAAGAGTGTGAGAAGGGTTTAAAACGTCTTAATATCTATATATACAAATAATAAAATAAACTACTTCTTACTACTTGTACTAATATTCCTACTTCACAGGTTTTCACTTATTGCGGAGCTTCAGGGTACGGATCCCCCGCGATAAATGAAGGACTACTGTCTTTGATTTACATGTGGATGAGCAACAAAAAACATCAAAAGGGACTAATTTAGCTCCAGTTTATGAACCTAGAACCAAGGAAAGATGTCGGGTATCTGACTTGGGTTAATGCCTCGACTGAAATTAGTCCATGACTTGGAAAAAGTTTTAAACTTTGGTCCATTCATCACTAATGGAGAATGTTACAAAACTGATGTTGAAACCGTCATTTCCACGTTTCAAAATGTTCCGGTTGTACGTTGTACTGTTACAATCCACCCTAAACATAATGTGGGCCGTCCTCTTTCATGCAGATGAATAACATCAAGTCACCAAGGCTAGTTCTGCAGACGACCCGGACATTTTTGAGGTCAGCTGTAGGTTTTCGGTCTTGTGCTAGAGCTTTGACACATCAAAGTTTCATACAAAACTAAATAACCACAAATGTCAGAGACAGAAATACTCCGACCACAAGCAGATAAGCTGATGCTATTTATGCTTCCTTCGTAAGGCCGCTTGTGCAGTTTGGGCTTAAATTTAAACTTCCTCTTTTTTGTCCGTGTTGGGTTTTGTTTGGGGTCTGGCGCTCACCCGGTCCCTCCCATATCTCCTCAGCAGCTTGTAGGGCCACACCAGGACTTTCCTCTTTGTCTTCGGCTCCTTCAAGATCAGCACGTCGCTTTCTGCTTTCAGCCAGTAGCTTCCTGCAAGCCCGCAGCGTTCGGACGCCTCGGTGCGTTGGACGGCCACCCAGAACTCGTTCACTAAATTGAAAGAGACGCGATTCTTACATTTCTTACAGAAGTTATTTTATCCCTGCGGATCTGTCACATGACACAAACTGGATGCCTTACCCTCCTCTCTGGAGTAGTAGATTAGATTTTCAGACATCTGCATGTCCTGAAGTCCAGGAGTGCTGCTGCTCCCGTTCCCTCCCTGTGGATCACACAGAAATGCTGAGTCAGCATTCACACTGTTGTTTTCAATTTTCCTTGTTTTTTTATTATTATTATTATTTCTATTTAGCTACTTCTGCATACTTTGTACCACTTTAGCCATTCATATTTCCAATCAGCTCATTCAAGAGATGGGTGCTATGACGTTTGTTTTTTGTAACTTTTATAGGTTTCAAAATATTTAACTCTATTAACAAATGTTTTCTCCATAGACAGATATCTGTTTAATAATTGTAGCTACTTTTAGCTAGCCTTTTGATATTTTAGTTAATCTTTAGCTATTTTAGCTTTTTGCTGGCCGTCTGTTATCTTTAGCTTTTCACTAGTGTTTTCTTACTAGACCTTTGCTATTTTTAGCTTTTAGCTAACTTTTTGATACTTTTAGCTTCTTGACAGTGTAATGATACTTGTAGCTATTAGCTGCTACTTTTAGCTTTTAGTTATTCTTTTGCTAAATGTTCCTAGCCTTTTGGCACTTTTATTTTTTAAGGTTAACAGTTTGCTGCTTGTAGCTAGCTTTTTGTTACTTTAAGATAGTTTTCTGTTATTTCTAACTTTTAGTTATCCCTTTGCTACTTTAGCTTTTAGCTGGCCTCTATCTTTAGCTTTTAGCTAGCTTTTTGATACTTTTAGCTTCTTGACAGTGTAATACTTTTAGCTATTAGATATCAACCTGCTACTTTGTGCTTTTAGTTGTTTTGTTTTTGGCTAAATTTTCCTAGCCTTTTGGTACTTTTCTTTTTAAGGTTGTTTGCTGCTTTTAGCTAGTTTTTATTTTTTTTTACTTTAAGGTAGTTTTCTGTTATTTCTAACTTTTAGTTCCCCTTTTGCTACTTGGAGCTTTTAGCTTTAAAAAATAGTGTTTTATTATTCCTTGCTCTTAAGTAGGCTTTTATTATGCTTAGCTTTTAGCTGGCCTTCTGCTATCTTTGGCTTTTCACTAGTATTTTCTTACTTTTATCTTTTAGCTAGACAGTTGCTATTTTTAGCTTTAGCTAGCTTTTTGATACTTTTAGCTTTTTGACAGTGTAATGATACTTTTAGCTATTAGTTATCGGTCTGCTACTTTTAGCTTTTAGTTATTCTTTTGCTAAATTTTCCTAGCCTTTTGGTACTTTTCTTTTTAAGGTTGTTTGCTGCTTTTAGCTAGTTTTGTTACTTTACGTCAGTTTTCTGTCATTTCTAACTTTTAGTTTCCCCTTTGCTACTTTGAGCTTTTAACTTTTAAAAATAGCGTTTTGCTACTCCTAGCTCTTAGGTTAGGCTCGTAGGCTTTTGCTATTCTTAGCTTTTTGCTAGCTGTTTACTACATTTAGCTAGTGCTTTTCTATTTTAGCTAGTGTTTTGCTTCTTTTAGGGTTAAGTCAGACAAAGCAGCCACTGAGGGATGGAGTGGACAAAGAAGGTCAGAAAAGTCTGAGGATGGAACGGAAAACGAACCAGATTAATTCTTGTTACTGGAAACTTCCTCTGGCGTCCTTTTAGAAAATCTGCTCAGGTTTTCAAACGTGTGTGAGCAGAGGCAGCAGAGAATGTGGCCTGCGCCCCCGGGTTTTATGTACACATGCAAAAAGACTCATAGTTTGAACTAATATTTAAACATAAGATCAGCTTTTTCACCAAACTTCGCTTCTTCCTTTGTGCGATTAAAGACGAGCGCTGAAGTAGAAGGAAGAGACAAACATCTTTAAACACAAAAAGGAAGTCTTAAAAGCTGCCGCCCCCATCTGCTCTGCTGCAAACCATTTCCTTTCTGCAAACCAGCTGAGCATACTGGTCAGCCATGTATTCAGTACAAATAAAGGTATAAACACACCTGAAAGGCGATCTCACACATGGTGTGCATCCACTCCTTGGCGGCGTTCTTCTCCGCAGCGAACACGTGCATCTTGTCGTTCGTCTCCACACAAAACGCCTCCATGTTTTCTTTGGGATATGAATCGGCCAGAGTGGGCAGAATGGAGATGCACTCCGACAGGCGGATGATCTTCTTGTCCAGCTTCCTGGTTTTCTCGTTGGAGGTGCCTCCAGAGCCTCCGCCGGACCCGCCCCCGCCCGAAGGGGAGTCAAAGAACTCAAGGCGGGCGATGCCATTTTGGCTGGCGGGGTAAAGCACGAACCAGTTCTTCTTCCATTTCTGATGGGAAAAAACAAAAAAGAATCTTAGCATCTTTTCTATTTTTTTTTTTTATTTTTTTTACATTGTTCTAGTTAGAAATGAGAAAAACAAGATTTTGGACACTGTGCGGCTTGGTTTAAACTAAAACTGAAAGGTACCTGACAGTGTGGAAAGGCTGGAAGATGTTGGACAGCAGACAGAAATATTAATACTTTTCGTCTCAAAACACTCGTCTCTCCTGGTAAAAGTCCAAATGAATGAACGATGTGACCCAAAGAGAAAAGAGGAGAACGTAGCCACTTCTTTAGAGCAGGGGTGTCCAAACAATTTCATATGTGGGCAAAAACTATCCACATGAAAGGACTCGTGGGCCACAAAAATGTGAACTCTCAATGTGAACAGTATGTTGGAGAAAGAACAAAAGTTTACTAATTTTGGTGGAGAAAGAGTTTTCGATTGTTGTAGATCCAAAACATTAAAAGCCTCATAAACACTAAACGTGTGTTTTTTATCAAAAAGGATTTACTGGAAGGATTTTTACTGAAACCGTTTTAGTTCTGGACATTTGTTATGACAACTGGGAGCAGCTGATTAACATCTCAAATCATATCTCAGCTACAGCCCCACATCCCAAATGAGTTGAAAAGGAGGCGCCATGGATGCATTCCCATCTCCTTGCCAGCTGCGCTCGAGTGCCTGACCACGGAGATCCTGGAAATGGCAGGAAATGCGTCTCGTGACAGCAGAAGGACCGGGATCGTCCCCCGGCACCTGAAGCTGGTTGTCCACAGCGACGAGGAGCTCGGCAGGCTGCTGGGAGGAGTGTCCATTGCTGTGGGAGGAGTTCTACCTGGCATTAGGGCGGTCCTGCAGCCAGGAGGAGCCGAGAGGCCTGCCAGGTCTGGGTGGACGGATCGGACGACATCTGCAGCTAGTTTCTTCAGATCCGCTGTGGGATGGACCTTTACTAGAAATCCTTCCTGCCTACAGCCGTCAGTATCTATAAAATATCTTAAAGAAACGAGGATAACGAGTTGCAACAAGATTTAATTTCCCTTCAGGATTAATAAAGTATTTTTGAATTGAATTGGTTTATTTGATTTGTTGGGTCTATGTTTGTTGTTTTCTTGTGTTTGGAAACTTCATTTTAGTCTGTTCTTAGCAACAAAGGTGTAATATGAATAAGTGTCTTTTAAAAGGGTTGATCAGCCTTGAGGACCATGGACGGCCCAAAAGGCTGATCGAAGTGCTGAAAAATCATCCAGCTGTCAGTCGCTACAGCAGATTAATTTGCTGTTAAACCTAAACATTATATAAAAATGGATTACCAACTAATTTGCAGAAACCTTTAAACCTGCTGGCCGGGAATGATACCATTCCTAAACTGCAGTCGTGGGCCGCACAAAATCACTGCAAGGGCCGCACATGGCCCTCGGGCCACATTTTGGACACCCGTGCTTTAGAGTAGCGATGCACAATATTATCAGCATGGTATCGGTATCGGCCGATATTAGCGATAAAGTTAAATATCGGACAGCCCATCAAAATAACACCGATATAAACGGTGCTGTTTTTTAAAATATATATTTATATAGTGTTAAATTATTTTCAGCCTTCTTTTTGACATTGTCATTTGGTAGCAGGACAAAGTGACAAAGAGCATGCAGAATAATGTAGTATTTTAATTCCACAGCAGAGAAAGCTACGTAGTCTCTGTGAGTAGGGCTAGCGGGAAAAATATCGGTATCGGTTATTGGCCAAATAAGTTTTAACATATCGGCATATTGGATATCGGCCAAACATCCAGTATTGTGCATCCCTACTTTACAGGATATGAGTCAAAGTGACATTTTTGTCTTTTTTTAATCTATATTAGTGACTGAGGCCTCATGTGGGAGGAATGTGGTGAAAATCTAATGCAGTTTGCACACATTACTGTTTCGCTCAGCAGCAGCACACCGTGGGTACACAAGTCGCTCAGCGCTCACGGATCTCCTCCAAAATCAAAGCTGTAGTTTTACCAGCCGAGACGTTCACATCAGTACTGAACCATACCGAGTTCTTCGTCTTAACACGCCCTGGGAGACTTTTCGAGTGCAACCAAAACAAGAGCGTGGCTGAAAGAGGAAAGAATTGATGTGTTCCAACGACAAACTTCAGCCGGATTTAAATGCTGCAGCGAGAGCTGTGCACGTCGACGGTTCCGCGAAACCCACGCGCTGGAGAAAAGTGCAAGGAAGCTCTTCGACAACACCGTGAGAGGCTCATACAGTCGTGATGTTGAGTTACTGACACTAAAGCAGCTGAAAACAATCGCACGACGCAACATTTATTAAGACCTGATGTATAAGAGTTGAAACTGAGGGAGAGTTGACTTCCTGTTTACTGTAGCCTCTTCTCACTGTACCTGAAAATACCCATGCTAAACAAAGTCATAAAAACCACCAGACAGTAAGGGTCACTAAGAATAGTGGCCTTTGATGTGACGTATACGGTGAAGCCACATATTTATGGATTTTTTTTTTTTCAAATTATTAGACATTTTTGGACTTACAGGCCAGAAAATACATTAATTCAACTCATTTTGATATCATCAAACAACGTAGTGATAATGTGTTCCTTAAAATTTATATAATTATCATTTCACTACCATTAGGATGTAAATGACTTTAAAAAAAAAAGTTGTATTAATTTTAAGTGAAGCTTCCCTTTAAAGATTTTTAGTGACAAAAGTAACTTACAGGATGAATGAAGGGGGCTAGCATCTAAATTTTAACCTTTTTCTCCTCTTTGTGTCCAGGTTTTTATGTGCTCGAACCCCCTGAATGATTTTAAAATGCGCTTGGGTTAAATCTGGGAGACGGGCTTATCGTGTCACAGCCAACAACGATCTCTTCCTGTAAAAGGACAAACAGCGCGGCACGCAACACTGAACAATGACCTGGACTGCAGGTGTTAAACACGCGCGTTTCAACAATTTCCTTCGGGATCAATAAAGTTTTATCTTTATGTTCAGTTGACATAAGATGCAGAAAGTCTGATTAAACGCAGGACTTTTGGTCACATATCCCATTAAAGTGCATGTGCACAGAACAGCTAAATTCTTGTATAAGTTGGGGAATCCCTCTATTTTTGTTAAGCTGTGTGTTGTCCCCCCCCACCACCAAAAAAAAAAAACCCTCATTTCATTACATTACTCACAGATTTTAAATTTCTTCATGCAGCATGGCGGAAGCTGAACAATAACGGAGCAGAGCTTGTGACAGGAAGGTCAGCAACTTTATAAAAACACTGTGACCAGCAGGAAAAACCAGCTGGAAGGGACAAACACAAAACATGCGCATACGTTAGATTTAAATCATCATATGTTCTCTAACCAGTGGGGTGTTCTTTTTTTGTTGTTTTTTTTACCATGTCTGATTATATGCAACTAAAAACATCATAAAAGTACATCTTATCATGACCCACGTGTGGCTCAAAGTCCATATATGATGCAAATCAGTGTGGGAGTTGGAGTCCTGCTAAAAATAATTCATCGCCGAGTCTGGACGAGAACAGGAGACAAACGTTGTTGTTCACTTTACCGTTTACAAGCACTTCTTTTAATTCAACTGATCAACTGATGCGTGATATTGAAGAAGCTTCCAAACAATGATAACTGAACTGCAGTCGGTTTGATGAGTCCACTTCTGCTATTTCCACAGTGACTTGTCAACAAGTTGTCCTTTGACTCTGAAAGTCTGTGAATACTGAAAGTGAAACAAATACAATAGATGCTTTAACTACTGCCACGACACTTCGCTCAGGACCCACACACGCTGCCAGCCAGCACGATGACAAAACACCACAACCCTGATGTTCGCTGCAAACTCAAAACCATCCTGGACCAGTTGCGCTCCATCGTGCTCCCAATACACATTTGAAGACGTCGCCAAGACCCTGCGAATACCATCCACAGCGTGGCTGACTTGTTGTGGTGGGATCATCATCCAGCATGACGGCAGCCTAAAAAACACATTTCCTCACTATCCTCTAACTTCTGCACCTCCATGTCCTCTCTACCTGCATCCATATATCTCCTCTTTGTCTTTTTCCTGGCAGGTGCATTTCTAACATCCTTCTACCAGTATACCCACTGTCCTTCCTCTGGACGTGTCCAAACCATCTCAATCTGGCCTCTCCAACTTTATCTCCCAGTTGTTCAAACTGTGCTGTACCTCTGATGACCTCATTCCTAATCTTATCCATCCTTGTCACTCCTAAGGAGAAACTCAACACCTTCATTTCTGCCACTTCTCCTGTCTTTGTCAGTGCCACTGTCTCCAGAACATACATCATAGCTGGTCTCACCACTGTCTTGTAAACTTTTCCTTTGATCTTTGCAGACACCCTTTTGTTGCAAATTACACCTGAAACTTTTCTCCATCCATTCCATCCTGCCTGGACTCTCTTCTTCACCTCTATACCACAACCCCCCATTTTCCTGGACAGTGGACCCCAAGTACTTGAAATCCTGCACGTTTGTGACCTCTGCTCGATCTTGTCCTTTCAAGTGCATACCTCCACCTCTCCAAGTTCTCTTCCACCTGTTCCCTGTTCTCATCACAGATCACAATGTCGTCTGCAAACATCATAGTCCACGGGGATTCCTGCCTGACCTCATCTGTTAGTCGGTCCATCACCAGAGCAAACAAGAAGGGGCTCAGAGCCGATCCTTGATGCACTCCCACCTCCACCTTGAAGCTATTTCTCATTCCTAGGACGCTTCTCACATTTCTTGTAACTTCAAGCAAAAGTTGGCATTTTATTTAAAATAAATAAATAGAAATTTCTATACTGCAGTAATTTAGTGTCAAAAGTTAAAAATCATCAAAGCGGCACTCAGAGCATTCAGTCTTTGGTAGTTTAATCTGCAACTTCTTTTGTTGTATTTTTTAATAAACTTATAACCCATCCTTCAAACTGTAAACATAAAAAGAAAATGTACTTTATTTGTGTATTTGCTTCCTCTGCATCGG